TTACCCTAAAGTTCAAGTTTTATCTCTCTGTCTGCAACCAAGTGTTTCTCTGGGGAAAGGGTTGAGTTGGAATAATAGGAATTATTGCATATCTCTAGACAGGCAGGGTGTCCATGAACGTTTTACAGCAGTGGCTCTCAAACGCAGCTTACTCTCAGATTTATTTGGTTCACTTGATAAACATGCAAACCCTGGGGCCCCTAACCAAACCTGGAGAACCGACTTTAGTAGATCTCAGAAAGAACCTGAAGGCAGGTGATTATGATGATTCATTTGTTGTCCAGAAAGTTCAACAATGCCAGAGAAGATATTTCTCCAGTGTCATATCAAACAGAAACACATCAGCATTAATTTCGGAGTCCTTGTATAGGACTGTAGGATAAGCACTGAACTGCTAACCACAAGGTCAACAGCTCAAACTCATCAGCTGCTGCTTGGAAGCACTGTACAGTGTTGCTATTATGAGTCAGAACTAACTCAACAGCACTTAACACCAACAAAGAAGTAAGGTAACAAGCTCATATGCAAACACAATTTAGAGGATGAATCAGCAGATAAATAAAGATTTTTAAAATGCAAGATATTTAAATATTGATTTAAAAAACATTTTCACATGTTGCTGTTGTCGTTAGGTGCCATCCAGTCAGTTCTGACTCATAGTAACACAAATCAATGCAAAACAGAATGAAACACTACGCAGACTCGTGCCATCCTCACAACTGTTACACTTGAGCCCATTACTGCTGCTACTGTGTCATTTCATCTCATTGGGAACCTTCCTCTTTTTTACTGAGCCTTCAGTTTACCAAGCATGACATCCTTCTCCAGGATTTGATCCCTCCTGATAACGCATCCAAAGTATAAGAGGTGACAGCTTACCATTGTCATTTCTAAGGAGCATTCTGCTTGTACTCCTTCCAACACTGATTTATTTGTTCTTCTGACAGTCCATGATACTGCTAATATTCTTCTCCAACACCATAACTCAAATGTATCAATTCTTCACCAGTCTTTCTTTTCATTGTCCAACTTTCACATGCATATGAGGGTAATTGAAAATAAGTTGACTTGATATAGGCATACGTTAGTCCTCAAACTGATACCTTTGCTGTTCAACACTTGAAAGATGTCTGTCTACCTAATGCAATATGTCATTTAATTTCTTGACTACTGCTTGCATGAGTGTTGATTATGGATCTGACAACTTGAATCTTTTCTCTTTTTTTAATCATAATGTTCTTTATTGGTCCAGTTGTTAGGATTTTTGTTTACACTGAGGTGTAATTCTTACTGAAGGCTGTTGTCTTTTATCTTCATTGTAAGTATTTTAAGTCCACTTAACTTCCAGCAAGCACCATTGTATCATCTGCATATCACAAGTTGTTATTCTGCCAATCCTGATGTCATGTTCTTCTTCATAGAATCCAGTTTCTCAGATTTTTTGTTCAGTATGCAGATTCACTAAGTATGGTGAAAGGATATAACCCTGGCCTACATCTTACCTGACTTTAAACCATTCAGCATCCCCTACTTCTGTTCTAACAGCTGCCCATTGGTCTATGGGCATAACTTCCTAATGAACGAAATTAAGTTTTCTGGAATACCCATTCTTCACAATGGCATCCATAGTTTATCATGACCGACACAGTTGAAAACCTTTGCAACGTCAATAAAGGAGAAGTAAGCAAATTTCTGGTATTCTCTGCTTATAGTCAAGATCCATCTGACATCAGCAATGATATCCCTAGGTCCACATCCTTTTCTGAGACCCATCATAGTTACTCAGGGAGCTTCTTCAGGTGGTAAGACCTCATCCACTGCTAAGAATCCATTTAATGAACACATACTGAGTGCTTACTGTGTAGATCCCAGTCACTGGACCAAACATTGGAGACATAATAGAGATCCAAAGAAAGCCCTTTGTGTCTAGACAATCTTTGCTTTCCTAGTAACTTGTTTCCAAGAGGCCCCTAGACTCTCTGTCTTAATAGGACAGAGTGGAACTGTCCCATAGGGTTTCCCAGCCTGGAAATCTTTATGGAAGCAGACAATCTCATCTTTCTCCTGTAGAGCAACTGATGAGTTCAAATCACAGATCTTTTAGTTAGCAGACCAATGCTTAATCCACTGCACCACCAGGGCTCCTTCCATCCCTATCAGGGATTATAAATTTGAAAAAAGACTTTGATTCTGTAGGAAAGTGGCATTGGGTTGGGCGAGAGACAAATGCCAAACATACTTAGAATCTTTGGTATGAAAAACGTGGAATTGTTCAGTTCAGATTAGTAAGCAAGTACAAGTAAGCCCTTGTTTACCTCATTTATTGGGTAATTCAGCACTGCAAAAACATAAGGCTGTTCTTAAATGAATCCATTTATTATCATCAACTCTCTCATTAGTAAGTCTGTATAATATTTATAAGTATATTAATTCAATGTCAAAATTGAGGTCTTACATATTAGAACAAATGTGAGTAGATTGTTGTTGTTGTTAGGTACCATCGAGTTGGTACCGACCCATAGCGACCTTATGCACAGCAGAAACAAAACACTGCCCCATTCTGAGCCAACCTCACTACTGTTGCCACGCTTGAGTCCATCGATGCTTCCACTTGGCTAATCCATCTCATTGGGGATCTTCCTCTTTTTCTCTGACCATCCACCTTACCCAGCATGGCATCCTTCTCCAGCGACTGTTCCCTCCAGACAATATGTCCAAAGTATGAGCGATGAAGCTTAGCCATCTTGGCCCCCAAGGAGCACTCTGGCTGCACTTCTTCCAAAACAGATCTATTGGTTCTTTTGGCAGTCCATGGCACTTTGGGTAGATTACAGTTACCAAATTTATAGTGAAATCATTGAAAATTATTCTGAATTTTAAATACAGGAGAGAAATTTTTAAAGAGACAATTCACAGAGATTGATGCCACTGTTTTCTTATGGTGAGTGAGACTTCTTCCATGAATCTGGATGAGAACATTGAAATGTTCATTTTTCCATGTAGTGATAATATCAAATAGTGAATGAAAAATATCTGAATTTCAGTTTTGCTAGGTACCACATCTTCAATTTACAAAAATGAAAGCACTGAATGAGATGTTCTGGTCACCTGGCTATAACATTTTAAAATCCTAAAAGGGGAAGTGGGAGCCAAAGTTTCATATATATGTTGTTGTTAAGTACCGCCAAGTAGGTTCCAACCCATAACGACCCTGTACAGGGTTTCCGAGGCTGTAAGTCTTTACAGGAGCAGAAAGCCTCATCTTTCTCCGACGGAACGGCTGGTAGTTTCAAACTGCTAATCTTAAGGTTTGCAGCCCGATTCGTAACCACTACACTACCAGAGCTCCTTTCATATATATATAGTGTTGTTCTGGTTTGGCACTGTAGGATAAACACTGGACTGCTAGCCACAAGGTCAGCAGTTCAAACCCACCAGCTGCTCTAAGGGCCACTAAGGGCCAGACCTGACTTGACAGCACTCAACAACACACATACACACACACAAATATGTATACACATTTGTTGTTGTTGCTAAGTGCTGTCCATTCAGTTCTGACTCATAGCAACCCTGTATAGTGTTTCTGAGGAGAAGCTGGTGGGTTTGAACTGCTGGCCTTGCTATTCAAACCTACCTTGTGGTCCAGTGCTTATCCTACAGTGCTATACCAGGAATATAATAATAATAATAATATATAATTCCCCCTAACTTCTGAGTAAGGGAGTGTTGTGTCACTATATGATGAGCCCTTGACTATCATCCACGAGGTCAATGGTTCAAGCCCACCAGTTGCTCCATGGAGAAAGATGAGGCTTTCTGCTCTACAAAGATTTAAAGCCTTGGAAACCCTGTACAGGGTCGCTATTAGTTGGTACTGACTTGACGGCACTTAACAACAACTTCAGAGTGAGTTCTGTGGGGACAGAGGACAAGGGTCTCTGAAAAAGGTTTGACAAGTCTCACCTCACCTTTTCTAATTAGGTCAAATTGGTCCTCTCAAGCAGCCATCAAATTAGCAATGGTGAGAACATTGCAATTAGTCTGAAGTTTACCTCATTACACCTTCCAGTCAGCCCAGAGCAGGCAAAGCTGAGTCATATAGGCAGGTACTTTCTCACAAGACTCATCATTCAAGTTTCAGCCTCAAGTTTTTTACAAACCACATTCCAAGCCTGCAAATTGACAGGTCTTCATTTAGCTCTGCACTGAAGTGAAAGAGCAAAGGCATATTTACTTTAAAAACATTTTCTTATATTCTAACACATATTTTGCCTAAAATGTCAGTACGTCTACTTTCCTGGCTGTTTAACTTTTACTAAGGATTTGCTCACATCAGTACACAGCCAGATGAATTGGGAACTTCAGTTCATGAAAATGACTTGCAGCAACTCATTATTTTATGGTTGCAGATGATTTCATTACCAGATTTCCATCTAATCTATCTCTTAGCAATTAACTAGTGATTGTTGTTGTTGTTAGCTGCTCGATTATGGTGACTCCATGCACACCAGCAGGCAATATGGCCTGGTGTAATTACAACCCAAAATAACTTTTTTATATAAATGTCTATTTAGAAGAACTAGATAGAAATGGCCTTAATCATAGAAGATCCATTTTCTTTTAATAGTGATAGCATCGTCACTAAAAATAGAAATTGCCCTTAAAATTGTTAGTATTTTAAATAAAAATACTTGTCACTACATTGATCTTTAACCAAAGGACAGTGATCACTGAACCCTCAGAACATGACCACAGAAACTTGTAATATTTTCTGCAGACTTCGTATCTGGTACAACAATAAAAAGGATGCTGCCACCTATAAGCTTAATTACTTGGTGATAAGGAACAGGAAGATACTGGCTGTATTTCATGGATATAACTCTAGATTGTATCAAAGAAACTTCTCACACTTAGAAGTTGAAGGATTGGAGACTTCATGTTATATGAGGGAGGAGCAGGAGGAGCCAGATGTATTGGGACACTCTAGCAATGTTTCCAGCCTACTTTTTGTTCTTCCATTCCTGTCAGCTAAACCTGCTTGATATTCTTCCTGATGTGTAGAAGGAATTACAAGTAGAAAGTACATGAAAGGATTTTTCAAACCTATAGAGTCTTTTTCCCACTTTTGAATTAGTGCTTATCTTGCCAAGAAAAATAAATGCAGATGTTGGACCATGTCAGAAATATTTTCAAGAGAATGGATTGTTTCCTACAGAATGGTGATGTGGCTTCTGATTCTGGTGGCGTATTTGTTTCAAAGAAATGTGAATTCAGGACATATGCCAACTAAAGCTGTGGACCCAGAAGCATTCATGAATATTGTAAGTTGAGACTTTCTATGTTTGGGGGAAATTAAGTGTCTATACATGTTAATGTTTGCAACTGTGTATTATCTGCATTATGTATTAAATTTGTATAGTGTGATTTATGATAGCATAGTGGAAAAGTCGCATACTATACTGGAAAGAATGCTAAACTGGTGATTGGTAGACCAGGTTGGGTTCTCCTCTAACAAATCTAGTAGGCCAACAACTTAATCCCTTTGGATCTCAAGCATAATTTAAACATTTCCTTAAAATCATCCATGAACAAAGAACTCATTGAGATCTTTTGGGTCAAACCCAAACTCTCATGATTGTTTCCATTTTGTTTGGGCTTTTTATTCTTTTTCTATTTTCACCTTTATGATCAAGGCATCAGCCTTCGCTTATTGCAACCTGGGTTCTCTCTTCTAGCTGCATCATGTACCATTCAAATCTACCCATTTATTTCTCTTTTGGACTGGTAACTGTTGAGTAGCAAGAAAAGGACCCTAAGTAAGTGATAGAAATGTTTTCTGTGAGTAAAATGCGTAAACAATGTGTCATCTCTTTAGGTCTCCCAGAGATTTTTTGTGTGAAGGGAACTTACTTTCAGATTCTTAACTAGATTTTAATAATGGCCACTGTCTACTAACACTTATCCCATACCAAGCTTGATGCTGACAGATACACAGGTATGATTTCATTTCATGCTCACTGCCCCATGCAGTAGATATGATTACCTATGTTTTTCAAATCAATAAACTGAGAATTAAAGAAGTTAAGCAACTTTAACTAGGTCACGCCACCTGGTGTATGGTAGAACTACAATTTAAATCCAGATCTGCCTGAACACAAAGCCTATAATTATAACCACTACCCAATAAACACTCCCAGGTGAGAATGAGGAGACTCTATCTCCAGATGAGTAAAATGCTTATATGTTTTGTTCATGCTCTATAGACTTACCTAATACTTTACAGAAAAAGAAAATATAACCTGTTTTATATAGGCACTTGGAGTCCTGGTGTGGTGCTGTGGATAAAGCACTGGACTACAAGGTAAGTTTAAATCACAAGGTTGGCCATTCAAACTCACCAGCTGCTCCTTGGAAACCCTATATAGGGTCGATATGAATCAGAACCGACTTGACAGAACTTAACAACAACAATATAGGCACTTCTTTAAGGATTCTACAATTCTGGCAAGTCATGTAAATACTCTAAATCTACAGACTGATCAGTATCAGGTTTCTTTTTACCATTCCAGTCATTGGCTTTTGATGGCTTGTTTAGATAGTTATCAGATTGGTATTGGTCCTTACAAACTACCCTTCTGACACTGAGAAAATCTCACACAAATTTTTTCTGGTTTCATGAGTGGAGAGAATCTCTTCAGCTGCAGATATTGCCAATCTCCTGATCTACATCCACAGGGTGTGCCAAGCACCCACAGACTTGGGGTTTCAGAAGCCTAAGACTAAAACAATTGAATTGAGTTCTGCTATTGAGAGACAAAGTGAAACAGAAAATGTATGTAATTGTTGTTGTAGAGTCAACAAAGTAGAATAAAATTCAGAGTGTGAATTGATGTAACTCTGTATATTGAGTTATATGGATTACAGTCTAACATATACATATTTTGGTATACATCTGGCCGCATTCATCTATTTTTCTTGCAAATGTTTATTGAGCAATTATTTTTAAAACACCCACAAACGCTGTATTGTCAAGTCAACTCCGACTCACAGTGACGTTGTAGAACAGAGTAGACCTTCCCCACAGGCTGTAATCTTTATGGAAGCACACTGCCTGCCTTTCTGATTAACAGCCCAGCACTTTAACGATTGCACTGCTAGGGCTCCTTGAACACCTACTAGCCAACCAATTAACCTACTACCATGGAGTGGATACTAACTCATAGTGCTGCTATAACAGAAATACCACACGTGGATGCCTTTAACAAATAGAAATTTATTCTTTCACTGTGTTGGAGGCTGAAAGTCCAAATTCAAAGTGCCGATTGTCTCCTTTCAGCATCTGTAGGCTCAGTATTCCTTGGAGTTCCCCATGTATCTTCCCATCAATCTTTCCCTGGATCTAGGAGTGTCACAAAGCCGGTGACCCAGGTCCAAAAGACACACTCGACTTCCATCCAGCTCTTCTTTCTTGAGCCCTGCTTGCCTGTTCAATCTCTTCAATATTTCTAAAGAGATGGACTCGAGACACAGTCTAAGCCTTAGATTGCATCTGGCCTCATTAACGCCATGTTATTGTTGTTAAGTGCCATTTAGTCGGTTCTCACTCACAGTGATCTCGTACAGGGTTTCCGAGATTGTAAATCTTGGCAGGAGCAAAAAGTCTCATCTTTCTCCCTCGGAGTGGCTGATGGACTCAAACCATAGACCTTGAGGTTTACAGTCCAGTGCTTTTTCTACAGAGCCACTGCGCTCCCTCATTAACGTCATAGAAGTGAGTATTTACAACACATGGGGTGATTATGTCAGATCAGGGACAATCACATGGGATCATATCACGGAGATTTCATCGTCGAGGTAATTGCTACATCTTAACTGCCCAATCACTGAGAATGCAGGCTTAGCCAAATTGACACAAAACCTCAACTATCACAGTGTCTGTAGTCAGAATAGACTTAACACCAATGGGATTTTTATGTTATTATTCTTTATACTTTACACCCTCTTTTCCAGTGTAACATTCAGCCTAAGCATCATCTGCTGTCTGTACACAATGCTCGCTGTGATTATAGGCCTTTCTCTTGTTCATTCTTTCCTCCCTCTTCAGGTTTTTGAGTAACTACTCAACACGTCCAAGTTCTGATGTGGCACTATAGTATAAGAACTGGAATGCTAATCACAAGGTTGGCAGTTCAGATTTACCAGCTGTTCTCAGAAAACCTATACGGGGTCGCTGTGGGTTGAGACCACACAACAGCAACAACTCCATATGTCCTGGTGCTACAGGATAAGCTGCAGGATGACTGCTAATTGCAAGGTCATCAGTTCAAACCCACCAACTGCTCCTTAGAAGACCTGTACAGGGTGGCTATGAATCGAAACTGACTTGGTGCCACTTAACAACAACTCAACACATATGGGCTATGGTTAAAGCACTCAGTTGTGAACCCAAAGGTCAGCCATTCAAACCCACCAGTCTCCATGGGCTAAAGATACAGCAATCTGCTCCCGTACAGATGACACTCTTGGAAACCTTATGGGGGAAATTCGACCCTGTCTTATAGGGACATTATGCATAAACATAGGAATAACTTGACCACATGATTTTGTTTGTTTGTTTCTTTTTGTTGTTGATGTTTCTTTTAAACCAAGAATAACTTGATCAGAACTTTTGTTTTGATTTTTTTGTTTGTTTTTTTAAGTTTATATTGAATACTCTGGTAGCGTAGTAGTTACGAATCGGGCTGCTAACCGCAAGGTCAGCAGTTCAAAACTACCAGCTATTCCGCAGGAGAAAGATGAAGCTTTCTGCTCCCGTAAAGACTTACAGCCTCCGAAACCCTGTACTGGGTCGCTATGAGTCAGAACCCACTCCACGGCACATAACAACAACAACAACAACAACAACTCTAGGCTCCATTCAAAGTCTCCTTCTATGAAACCTCATCAGACAACCCTTCTCAGGGTGCTCTCGCTGTCTGAATACCTTGACTTCTATGTTCACTCACTTCCTTCATCCCTCACTGGACACATCACATAGATCTTCTTACTACACACTTGCCAGATGTCCTCCATTCTCACATTTGCCACATTTATTTTACCTACCCAGATAATCTACAACAATGGTTCTCAAGGTGTAGTCCCTAGGACAAGAGCAGCAAAATCACCTGAGCATTTGAAATGTAAATTCTTCTGCCCCCACCCAGACCTACTGGCTCTGGCCCCAGCAATGTGCATTTTAACAAGTCCTCCATGCAATTCTGATACATGTTAACTTTTGAGAACCACTGGTCTATAAATCACTGAAGGAGAATTATACACATGGGTGACACACGTGTACACACACACAAATACACACACATTACATTTCTTAAGACTTGGTTAACTGAATTTAACTGTTGTTGCTGTTGTTAAGTTGCATCAAGCCGGTTCCAACTCTTGATGAACTTGTATAGTGTTGCTGAGGATGTAAATCTTTACAGGAGTGAAAAACCTCACCTTTCTCCAGCAGAACTGCTGGTAGATTTGAATTACTGACCTTCAGGCTAGAAGCCCAGCTCATAATCCACTATGCTACCAGCAATTGATAAGGAGCTCTGGTAGCGTAGTGGTTACGAATCAGGCTGCGAACCTCACGGTCAGCAGTTTGAAACTACCAGCTGTTCCACGGGAGAAAGATAAGGCTTTCTGCTTCCATAAAGATTTACAGCCTCGGAAACCCTATACAGGGTTGCTATGAGTCAGAACCGACTCCACTGCACATAACAACAACCACTAGCAATTGATACTTATTTGGAGTTCCTAGTATGGTGTTATAGGATAAGCACTGGATTGCTAACTACAAGGTAGACAGTTCAAACCTACCAGCTTCTTGGAAATCCTATGCAGGGTCACTATGAATCGTAATCTATTAGATGGCACTTAACAACAACAACATTTGGAGAAGGCTGGTCAGGGGAGGATTTTCTCAGAAAGTAGGCTGAAAAGAAGAGTCTGGGCAAGAAATATAAGTATCTGCTTAAACAGCGTCCAAAGGAGGACAGAAAAGTTCAAAGGCACCTAAGCTGACATAAACACCAGTATTTGTTTCATAAAAGCTGGACAAGAACAAACTGGGATAGAATAGAACCCTGAAGCATCTTTACCACCAAATCCCAATAGCATACGTCTGTCTGGCATTGTCTGGTCCACCAAATCCTAATAGCATACATCTGCCTGCATTTTCTGGCACTAATTAAGAACACGGGCTATAGTGGCTGGCAGATCTTGATTTGAATACAGGTTTTGCCACATAACTAGCAAGAACTATCACATACTTTCTGGATAAGTTGCTTAATCTCGGTGAGTGACAATTTCTTCATAGAGCTGTTACGAAACTCAAATGAAACGAATGTAAATAAAGCACTGGGCTTATTTGTCGTTGTTGTTAAGTGCCTTCCAGTCAATTCCTACTCATAGTGACCCTGTATAGGATTTCCAAGGCTGTAAATCTTCATGGGAGCAGAAAGCCTTAATCATAGATTAATTCACAGTCCAGTGCTTAGTGTATGGAGTCTCCATGTAGTTTCTTGTCCTATTTAACAACATGGGCTATAATGGCAGACAGACCCTGATGTGAGTTGAGGTTTTACCACATAACCAGTAAGTACTGTCACATACTTTCTGGATAAGTCACTTAGCCTCTGTGAGTGGCAATTTCTTCATAGAATTCTTATAAAAGTTAAATATTGAGTTTGAACCACCAACTTTGCAGTTCAAACCAATGTTGGGGTCTAATGCTGATCCTATGATGCCATGCCAGAACTCAGAAAGGTAAATGAGACTAATGTAAATGAAATACTAGACAGTCCTCATGCACTGCCATAGGATAAGCACTCAACCTCAAGGTCATTTTGAACAGCAAGATGAAAAACAAGGTTCCAGGATTTGGTGGAATGAAAATTGTAATCTTTGAACAAACTGATGAAGCCCTGGAGACACTCACTCATTTATGCCAACCTACTGGAAAAGATTCATACTTATTCTCTTTCCAAAGAAAGATGATCCAACAGAATGCAGAAATCATCGAATAGTATCATTAATATTACATGTAAGTAAAATTTTGCTGAAGATAATTTAAACATGATTAAAGCAGTACATCAACCCGGAGCTGCCAGAAATTCAAGCTGGGTTTAGAAGAGGACATAAATTGAAGAATATCATTGCTGATGTCAGGTGAATACTGGTTCAAAGGAGAGAATACCAGAAAGATGTTTACTTCTGCTTTAATGGCTATGTTGTTTTAGTGCCTACTATGTATCAGGAAGGAGCCCTGGTGTGGCACTGTGGGTTAATGCACTGGACTGCAAGGCCCCTCTGAACCTCAAGGTTGGCGGTTCAAGCTCACCAGCCACTCTGATGCAATCCTCTACAGGGTTTCTATGAGTGGGAACTGACTTGCTGGCACTTAACAACAAATGTATCAGGAATAAAGGAACCTTGGTGGCACAGTGGGTGAAGTATTAGGTTGCTAACTGAGGGATCGTGCTCGAACCCATTAAACCCTCCAAGGGAGAAATACAGTCTGCTTTTCTAAAAATGTGCAGGCTCAACAACCCTATGGGGCAGGTCTACTTTGTCCTATCAGAGCACCATAAGTCAGAATCCACTCAATAGTTGTGGGTTTGGTTTTGATTCAGTTCATACTTGGAAATAAAGTTAGGGTAATATAAGCATTCTCTTTATACATTCTTTGTAATAATCCCATGGAGTACGTACCATTGTTGTTGTTAAGTGCCACTGAGTCGCTTTTGATTCATTGCAACCCTGCATTGGATTTTGGAGGAGCAGCTGGTGTGTTTGAACCGCAGACCTTTCAGTTCAAACCGACTTTGTGGTCCAGTGCTTATCCTAAGCACCACACTTAGTATTACTAATTTACAGATGAATAAACTGAGGCCTAGCAATGTGTTAACTAAATTCCCAAGTTTAAACAGCTTGTTCAAATATTAATGTTAATTGTTGTTGGTAAGTGCCTTCCAGTAGGTTCTAACTCATAGTGATCCTGTATAGGGTTTCCGAGGAGCAGCTGGTGAGTTTGAACCATGGACTGTGTAGTTCAAGTCCACCTTACTGCTGAGTGCTTATCCTATAGCGCCACACCAGAACACCATTAATGTTAGAGACAGGATTAAACTTCAAGCTGTGGGACTCCAGTGGCTTTCTCTTAATGGCTATGGTATACTATCGTCCCTGATTCTACAGTGAGCCTATAGGCACCTATCTGGCCTTCTCCACTCTTGTTCCTTTAAGGAGCTAAGAGAACAAGATCCCCCATGCTCTGGGTAATGACAGGGGACACAAACATTGAGAATATTTACATCTCTGTAACTTCATGCTTCCCAGATCATTTCTTTCTATAACTGTATAGAGTAGGGTGTTTTTTTGTTTGTTTGTCTGTTTTTTTTTAAATCCATGGGCAAGAACTCTGAAACCTCTAAAACTATATGAGAAAATGTGTGTGTGCCTGTATGATTATTCATTTTTTATAATTCTTCTCAAATTATCTAAGGCATCCTTGCCCTGCTCTTAAATGTGTGGTTATAGTACTAGAAATAACATTTTAAAATACATAGTCCAGAATATCCCAAAAGTTGACCTGGGACAGGTGTCAGACAGGCTTCACTAGGATCACCCGATTCATTCTTCACCTGCACTGGACCTGGGAATCTGTATGGTTAAATGCTCCAGTGCTTCAGATGTACTCCCAGCTTTTAGAATCAGCGTTCTGGTCCATCAGAATTCCTTGAAGAGTTTAATAAAACACTAATTGCAGGACCCAGACTTACAGTTTCTGAATAAATAGTCTAAAGCAAGTATGATCATTTTCAAAAGTTCCCAAGTGTTGCTGATTCTGTTGGTCTAGGGATCATACTTCAAGAACCACTCTCCAAGCCCAAACTCCATGTTACAGGTAAATAAAGTGAGGTCTGGAAGGGGTTGACTGGATTTTTCTCAGATGACATGATTTATGAGGGAAAGAAAGGATTGCTTGTTTATGTCAGGCAGCATCAAAAAATCTACCTTTTTTACTTTCTGAGGTTATTGAGAACCTACAATGAGATGGATTGGAACCATGGCAAGAGCAATGGACTCAAGTGTGACAACAATTGTAAGGATGGTGCAGGGCTGGGCAGTGTTTCATTCTGTTGTGCATATGGTTGCTATGAGTCAGAGCTGACTTGGCAGCACCTACAATAACAACAGCTATGCATATAACTGAGATTGTGTTTATTCCATAGAGTGAAATAATTCAACATCAAGGTTATTCCTGTGAGGAGTATGAAGTCACAACAGAAGATGGGTATATCCTTTCCCTTAACAGAATTCCTCAAGGCCTAATGCAACCTAAGCCAACAGGTAGAGTTCATAGCCACAGGGCAGCCTTCCCTGCAGCAAACATTTCTTTGTGATTTCATTATGTAGACCTTGGTACAGATTGCAGTTCAGTGTTGGAGTCAAGGAACGGCTTCAGTTTCCCCATAATCCCAGTCGCTGCAACTCACACCATCAACTATTTCAAATACATATAAAGTGCTTACTTCTCAAAGACACCTTCAAGAATGGCCCATTCCTTCCCACACTTCTAGCATGTAGCCCTTACCTTCAATCCCTCCAAAATAAATATTTTAGGACATCTACTGATAGAGTCCCTTGAACAGTATGCTTCCACTCCATGCCATGAAGAATACAAACTCTAATTTATCCTCTGGTGCTCACCCCCAAACATGCCCACATTCATAATTCAAATAGCACCTTAAATGTTTGTGGTCAATAAGAAGGAAGTAAGCTTTTGACTAAAGAAATTTTAAGAACCAGGCTCTTCAATTTTTGCGACTTTTTTTTCTTTCTTTCTTTTTTTCGCCCCCAGTGTTTACTGTTATTCGTAAGTGCCATCTAGTCGGTACTGACTCATAGCAACCCTACATAGGGTTTCCAAGGAGTGACTGGTGGGTTTGAATTGCTGACCTTGTAGTTTGCAGTTTAGTGCTGATCCTA